AAACCATATAAATACAACATTATGACTCAAACCCTAGCCTCCTTACCAACCTCTCAACCTCATAAACCCTGGATAGCCTCTCATCCTTCATCCTTGTGTGTTTTTGGCTTTGTGAAGTTCTTGGTGGTGTTTAGAAGCTTGAAAGAAGAAAGAAGAAGTTGGTGAAGAAGAACTTCAGTAGCTTGAGCTCAAGGATCCGAGATAACATCACCATTTGGCACTCATTTGAGGTAAAAAGGTTTCAACTTGCTTCATGAATGCTTAGATCTATGTTAATGGAGTTTTTGGACCTTTTTAGGTCCCAAGAATGGGTTTTTATGGTTCAACTTCGTATCTAGGCATAGGGTTGCCACCCTTAGTGATATATGAGCCCCATTAGCAGTAAAGTTTCGATCTTTAAGGTCCTTTTGTAACCATGCATGAATTATAGTCATTTCCATGGAAGTTAGTTTCTATATTCCAAGTTTGGGTCCATTTGGTGGGTTGCAAGCCACCAAGTAATCGACTTTATGAGTTAAGACATGTTAATAGACTCAGATCTGTAATTTGGATTAAAGGTCTTGAAGGATTAAGCACTTTTGAGGAATATGGCTTAACAGGGTAGTACATTGGATGTACAAGCCAGTACGCGCATCGTAGAAGCCATACAGCCTATACGCTTAGCATACAGAAGAGTACGCCCTGCGTACTCGCTGAGTTTGGGCTTCACGACATTTGGGCCTCGGTTTGGGCTAATCTTTGGACTTCTTAACTTTTGGGCCTTAATGGGCCATCAGGAGTCAGGTATTGGGCCAAGGACATGATTGGGCTTAAGGGAAAGCCCATTTGAGGAGTTAGGCCCAATTTAGAAAATTGGGCCATTAATGGGCCATTAGTGGGCTTGGAAAGATTAGATGGAATTGGGCCTTGAATATGGTCCAAATTAGACTAGGGGTAAAATGGTCATTTTACCCTAAGAAGGATTATGGATTTTGACTAAGTGTCGTTGTGATAATGATAGTCGGGGAGTCGATGGAGCAGCCGTTGGGGATTCCTTACCATGAGATTCGACACTCCGCTTTGCGAGGTGAGTTTCCTCCTAGGAACGGTTCTAAGGCACCAATGCCGGCCCGTTTATGTATGTTAGCGTGTGCCAGACTTCAGTCCGATGTCGGGCAGTGCCCGATGTAGGTTTATATGTTTATATGTTTCCGGACTCCGGTCCGATGCCGGGGAAAGCCCAAGGAATGTTTGTGTGCTTGATGTCTTCGTGATTCTTAAATATGCTTGTTTATATGTTCCGGACTTCGGTCTGATGCCGGGGGAAAGCCCAAGGAATGTTTATATGTTATGTTATATGTTTCGGATTTCGGTTTGATGTCGGGCGGGGCCCGAGGAATGTTTATATGTTTACGTTATGTGAATATGTTTATATGTATTTGTTGATATGTTATTTTGTATACCGGATTTCGGTCCGATGCCGGGCGGGGCCCGATGTAGCGGGCAAGGCCCATGTTATGTTATTGTGTGATTATGTTATTATGTTTATGGTATGTGGTAGTTTGGGGAGACTCACTAAGCTTCGTGCTTACAGTTTTCAGTTTTGGTTTCAGGTACTACCGGTAGCAAGGGGAAGAGCTCGGGATGATTGCAGTTCACACACCATTTGTTTAGCCTGGGATGTTTATACTCTGATATATTTGACAGATGTTCATGATATTTTGAATACACGATTTATGATTTTTATGTGATTTTTGATAACTATGGTTTTCTTAATGATTTAAAAAGCAATTTTTGGACCGTATTTTTAGGATGTTTCATTTGTGCTTCAGCTTTAATCATATGCGTCTTCTCACTATACTATAAGACACTAGGTGTCATTGATATGCTTGTTATCTTTGTGACTCATGTTGTATGGTATGTTGTTGGGCTGGGCCCACTTGTTGTTTGATGGGTTGGACCCGTTGGGCTGGGCCCACTTTATATTTGTTGGGATAGGCCCATTACTATATGGTGTGTTGTATATTGGGGAACTTACTAAGCTTTGTGATTATGGATTTAAGCTTAAATGTTTCAGGTACTTTTGGTAGCAAAGGGAAGGAAACGATGTAATTGCATCACATCGGCTTTTTATGATTTGAGATATTCTGCATTATGATTTTGACTATGATTTGTGTTACCAAAACGATTCAGATATTACTTTTATGTTTGTATGTCATGATTTCCTTTTTTTTTAAAAAGAAAATTTGGTTTGAAAATTTGGAACGTTATCTTTCAATGATTAAGAGATTTGTGGTTTTCCCGAAAATTACAAGGTGCATTTCTACTGGTAGTCTACATGGAAGCATATGTATACCTTTAAAGTTGATCTTATAAAAAATAAAACATTTTGTCCAAAAGGTTAATGTGTTACTAAATCTAACACTTCCCTCCTATTGAAAATAAGTTTTGATGCCTTATCTAATAATCAACCATTATGACTAGTTGATATAGTTACTTTAGTTGGGAATTTTTTGAAAATCTTTTGTAATAAAATCATTAACGCTAACTCATGTAAAGTAAACACTGTTGTTGTGAGAATTCTTAATTCGTGAGTTGTATTATGTCACTACAAATAGATACTGAATCAAGTTTTGGATACAAAAGAAGATGCTTAAGATTATTAGTTAACTTATTATACTTCTAACTATAAAACTAAGTATATTGATATTTAGACAACATTTCGAGTAACTGATCAACCTAGCTAGACATATGCTTGAATGAAGACCCAATGTACCGATCAAAGGGTAATTTTAAGGGAGAGTTTACAAAGGAAGTTTCTAACAACATGAGTATTGTGTGAGTACTTATTTACTTTTCAAAGATCACTAAGAGCATGGTTTGGAAAAGCTTTGAATTGTGCTAGAGTTATATCTCTTGATTTAGGAATTGATCTGGTGTTTCTTAAAAATTAATAATATAACAATTTTTAATAAAAATTGAAGAGGGTGAAGTAGAGTCATCTGAACTTGTACATGAACATTCACGTCAACAATCGTTCACAACAAAAAAAAGTTGAAGTCATTGAATATCGAAGAACTAAAATCCACTTGTAAAAATTATGAAAAGAGGTTACAAAATAGCATATATCAGACATTGTTGGTGATGATTTATTCAAAAAACTGGAATCATTACAAAAATGTCAATTTAACATAATACAACTAACACAATATTAAATTTCTTATAAATGATAAACACTTATACAGTTTCTTATCTATCATACACAATATTGTTGATTGCTCTCATTAAATTACATTAGTAGAAGGATCTCTTCAAAACTATAACTTATAAAATGTTATTTGCGATCTTTCATGCCTCAAGAGAGAAACTAAAAGCCTTGGGTTTGATTTCAATTGAAAATATAGATTATGAAAGTGTAATAGATGAATTTACTTTTACAAATTCTCAATGGTCAATATTTAGAAAATAGTAATATGTTGACTGTTTATCTTATTTTGAAAAGTTGCTTGTAATTAACACTTTAAATTTATAATTAATGAGTATGATGCTTGTATAAGGAGTTTAGGAGATGTTTGTTATCAACTTTGTATATGAAAATTTTGAACTTAGAGGTAAAGGACTGACTTAGTAATATTTTACAATAACTTTTTATAGGGCCTCAATTTTGATTTTTGCACAAGGCTCCCGAAATGTTAGAGTTGTGCTTGCTAACAATCACGTGTGCCAATTGGTAAGGTAAATGGACCAAGAACGAGAAATGGGAACTAGTTATGTTTGCAAAGAAATGTTTGGTATCTTGAAACATTTATATCCTTTGTTTTGAAACTAATAGTTTATGTGTAAGCTTGTTTGGAAACTGATGTTGATGGTTAATTTGGGAACCTTTGGAAGTATTGGTTATGCAATTTTTTATTGGTTATTCACGTATTCCATGTTTGCTTTACTTTGATATTGTTTGTGAAAAAGATTGGGAATCGTTGATTGTTTCACTATTGGGCAGTATTGGTTATGCAATTTATCTAGAAACATTTCACAATCAACCATATATAAATTACATAAGCCCATACTGTAAAAACCGGTAATGTAAACATATTTGATTGTATAACCATTTACTTTGGGAACTATTGAACAATGTGCTCTCTATGCATTCTTTCATTCCCTAAAATAGAATTGAAACAAACACAAGGAAATGGAATATAAACATATTTTTATTGCAAGATTTTTGGGACATATATAATTTAAATTGTACCTTAATTACATTAAACCATACACAAAACAACCAAACCTATATGGCAATGACAGTAACCCAAAACAACCAAAGTTTCTAAACTATACCCAAATAGCCAAGACAGTGAGTGCATTTAGGCCAATTTCTGAAAAAGAGGAGTAAAAAGAAAATCCAACGATCATGATCAAATATTGCTTCATTCACATAAATTCAACCTCAAGATCTTTGACTTGAACAGTTGAACCTTCCATAACGTACCTCTGTATAATGTCAATTGCATGTATCCACATTGGAGGGTGGTCAAATGGGTTATGGATGTTTAGAATCTGGTCAAATATAAAATCAAAATAATGGCTTATTGCAACCTTCAAATTTTCCGTGTTTTCTATATATACAAGAATGGTAAAAACTTTTTGGTCCCTTATTTTAGCTTTTGTAGAAAAGATTTGGCCATTCACACACGATATGTTCACATGTCATAAATAGTTAAGCTAAATTAACACGCTATGTCGCCTTGCATGAGAGAAAAGATACGTAAAAGCACATGTTTTTAGAGGTAGTAGTGTTGTATAATACCACCATGTGTCAACATAGAAAGATACTTATTTTTTATAAAAAAAAATCTCATCACATTTTAGACAACATTGCCAAATCCCTTTTAAGAATAATTTGACAAAGACATGTAACAAACTTAACATAAATACTAGTAAAGACAACTTAATCTATTGATTGTCGGGTTAAGAAAAAGAAATTGTCTTCACTTCTTTGTTTCGTAACAGAAAAGTTGAAGACATAAACACACAGTCTCTAGTGCATCTCTCAAGCTTCTTAAGACATGCTTTAATGGAGGACACTGCACAACAAAAAATCATTCATTCATTCGATTATAAAACTTTTAATTTGCATATACTGATCAAGAGAGACATCAAATTAAAACATCGATCGAGGGTAGATGAAGGAATTAATTTGGAGGGATCGATGGTCTCGTTTTGTTGATGGAGGGAAGCCATATCTCGGGGTGCTCTTTTTACAATTGGGATACGCTTTTAATGGAATCATAGTGAAGTCTGCTTTAAATAAGGGCTTGAATCCATGCACATTTTCTGTTTATCGAAATATTTATGCAGTCATCGTTTTCGGCCCATTTGCTCTCTATTTTGAAAGGTACTTTAATACTTTTACTTACTTTTAATCATAACTAATATTAATGCATGTGTCTCAAATATTGTATTTTATTTTTCTTAAAATTACAGGAAACTGCGACCTCATATGACGTTGTCTGTGTTCTTGAAGATAATGTTGCTTGCACAATTAGAGTACGCATTCATCAAGGCCTAATTAAACCCACATTAATATTACATTTTAATTAAATTAGCTAATTACAAAAAGTTTGTGGAATTTAGGCCTGTTATGGACCAAATATTGTATTATACTGGAATGAAGTACACCACTGCGACATTTGCCATAGCAATGTGCAACATTCTCCCTGCTTTGACGTTCTTCATGGCGTGGATATTTAGGTACGTACAATACGACTTGCGTAATTTACAAACAATGAAACAAAACTAGCTAGTTTTATAAAGACGTGTTAATTTTTAATTGTACGTAGGCTTGAGAAGGTGAACATAAGAAGATTGCATAGCCAAGGAAAGATCATAGGGACCCTTGTGACAGTAGGTGGAGCCATGGTCATGACCTTTATCAATGGACCACCCATCCCATTGCCATGGACCAAGGTCACCAGAGTGCACCACCACCACCACCCTCTACCACCCGCTACACCCTCTTCAGACCACCATTTCAAGGGTGCGCTAATGATAACTGCTGGCTGTGTTTTTTGGGCTGGATTTTACATTCTTCAGGTAAATAAGACTAAAGGCTATTTTCGTCATTGTGCTACATACAATGATGTAAGACTCAAATTTTTGTCTTAAATGGTTCGATTTTTTTTTCCAGGCTGTGACATTGAAGAAATATCCTGCTCAGTTGTCTCTAACAACCCTCATTTGTATGATGGGTGCTTTGCAAGGATCTGTGATGACTCTTGTTATTGAGAAGGGCAAAAAAGGCATTTGGTCTATAAATTGGGACACGAAACTATTCGCGACACTATATAGTGTAAGAAAACATATCGATTAATTACCTTAATTTCTCATATGTTTTCTATTTTATTTTTCCCTTAACTTCTTTTGTTTTGGGGTTTGATACAGGGAATAGTTCGGTCAGGGGCGAGCTACTATATTTCGGGTCTAGTGATGAAGAAGAAGGGACCTTTTTTTGTAACAGCCTTCAATCCCCTTGGGATGGTGATCGTTGTGATTGTGAGCTCGTTTACTCTAGGCGAACAAATGGACTTGGGAAGGTAAGTTTTGTAACCCATGACATAGTATCTTGTATGTTTGGTATGCATTAAGCTGATTAAAACAATAATTACGTTTTTTTTATCCTACCAAAAAAGGTGGACCCGAGTGAGACATCACTTACTATCCAAAAGACATAAACGACCTCTACGTGATTGGAAAAACTTGTAATGTTCACTTTACATGACCATATATATCATTTTGTATTTTGAATAACTGTTTTCAGGGTTATTGGAGCATTAATTATTGTTCTCGGATTATACCTAATCATATGGGGTAAAAGTAAGGACTCGACTTTGTCTGATTCAAGAAATGACGAGCTAGGAATTGTTGACCTGAATCCGACCCAAGAAAAGAATCACAATGGGATTTCAAAATCCGAGATAGTTGATGGTGAAGCTTCGGTCTGAATCTTTTTGTTCAAATCAAAGGGGAAATCGATTGATTCAAAACCTTTAGGGAAGTACAATTAGAAATGATTAGATGATATCAAACTATAGTTTAGAAGGAGGTTATTAGAATGTGTGTTAGTCTTTAAAAAATCAAACTACTATTAGTTTGATTAGGATTTTAATTATATATATATATATATATATATATATATATATATATATATATTAAAATTTATTGTAGTTTATTTATACTATCGTGATTTTGTAAAAATTAAGAGATTTATACTAAAGTTTTTAACAGAAAAATATAGAGTGAATTAGATCTCCAGGATTAGTAGTTTTATTACACAATTCAAGTTTTAACTATGAATTATTGTAGTGTCAAGCGCCAATATGATATACGAAATCGCAATTGCATTTCAATTCAATGTCTTTTTATTTGTATATGAATACAAGAAACATTTCAATGTCAATGGTTTTCTTTCAAATATATGGAATGGCTACACCCTCAATATAACTTTATTTATTATGTTTGAGACCGCCTCTCCCTTCTTCCGCTTCCGATTCCGATCAGTCACCGGTGATGAACGACCGTTCCTCAAATTTCCGTCTTTCCTTTCACTCCTTCACAATCATCGGCTTCCATTCATACGTTGTTTTCCTCTGTGCTTTCATCTTTTTTTTTTTTTTTTTTTTTTTTTTCCGCCATGTGGTTCCTTTCGCTACCTCTTGAAGCCTTCCTTCCGTTCTTGCGACAGGTTTGATACTTCATTTTTATAGACAGACGAGTCGAGAGACAAAGATCGAGTGAGAGAGAGGTGTAAAGTAGATGAAATAGACATCGGAAGACCACACTTGCACTACAGTACGTTTTCTTTCTTGATTCCTTCTAGATTAGGGTTTCTTTAAAATTGCTGGTGTGATTTTCCGTCTTTTGATTTTTATTTTCCATGTTAAGAACTTGAATTGCGATTCAACGAGTGCTTGCTCTAGCTGTTGGGTACACAACATCTAAGGTTGGTTGTTTTGTTTTTTAGATATGTACACCACCTGTTCCATAGAATTCCCAAAAGATATAGTGAATTAGGTAACTTATGATTTTTCTATATTGACTATTTTGCCAATTTCCTCTTAACAGGGGTTGTGATAGATGTTGGAGATGTAAAAGGTTATAATCAAGAAAGAATTGTAATCGATGGTATTTCCACATACAAAGACAAAGATCGAATCAACATTTGTGGTGATTGGAATCGATTGTCCCTGAAACAGCTTTGGAAGACATGTTAATTTCTATATTGGTTGCGATAGCAAGGCATTCCCCTACATCTGCTGGTGCAATCATGAAACGTGAGAGATTAATTCAAGTTATACTCCACAAATTCACTACAAATAAATAACCAAATGGGAATTGACTTTATAAAGATAAAAATAAAATCCATTTATAAATATGTAATCATCTTCATAATCATAAAATCTTTTTCATTTAAATATAATTTTCTTTTTCAATCCTGTCACCGGCTCCATCCAGGAGGTGTAAGGAATTTGTATAGAATGGAACTTTGTAGAAGCTGTTGTGGCATTTGTATTATTGATGACCGGATGAATAAAGAAACCGAAAATCTCAAAATTTGGTCGACTTTGGTCATTCAAAAGCTACGTGATTTTATCTCAAAAAGAAGCTTCGATTGGCTTAGAGAGAAAGATGAACTACATATGGAAATGAAAGCCGGAAGTGTTTTCCAAGGAATGCGTGAAGCTTTTATCACATTCCCACCTACATACAACACAACCTTTTTAATTATCATATAGTAATAAATTATTTATAAAATGGGTTGGGTCTAAGTTTTTAACTTTTGTAGGGTATGATTCGAGTGAAAAAAGCGTATTCAATTAACAGTTAATAACTAAAAATAGTTAAATATCTATATTAGCACTATGTTTTTATTAGTAATATTATAAATTTTATAATTATATACTTAATATAGTTGGAAAGGATTCTTTTTGGCACAATGGATCCATTGAATGATAAGGAGCATCTAAGAAATACAAAAACAATTAATAGATGAAAACAAACATCTAATAAAACAATTTTCAGTTTATTCACATTCAATCAACTAATGCGTTGTCTATTCTTTGGAATATTTTTCTGAAAAAAAAAAGACTATCGTTGTACTCTCAAAAACGAACCTTTTGAGCCTGGGTTAGAGTTGTGGTACATTTTCACCTTCTTTTTTGTGTCAATTCACACACATACACACACGCATTAACGTTTCTTTTTGTGTCAATTTTCACGTTCTTATATAGTTTTTTAATATTTCGAGGGGGCTGGGTTAGAGCTAAGGTGTTTTGGTTCATGAATTGATTATGCATAAACAAATTATTTTTTATTATCATACATGGGGCACTAATATACTTTTTTTTTTTAAATAAAGATTGCAATTTGTTTCATTTTTTTACCAAAAAAACAAAATACATTGCTATTTGTTGGATTTTTTCATAATTAGGTGGTAAATGCACTAAATAAGAATGTACTTTGAATTTATATTTTTTTTCCCTGTTTTTTGCAATTTGTTTTGATTTTTTTTTTACCAAAAACCAAAGTACATTGCCATTTGGTGCATTTTCCATATTTAGGTGGTAAATATAGTAAATAGCAATATACTTTGAATTTACACGTTTTTTTCCTGTTTTTTTCATTTTCTTTTGATTTTTTTTTCCAAAAACCATACTACATTGCCTAGGTGTATTTTTTATTTTTAGGAGTTAAATGCCCAAAATAACAATGTACTTTGAATTTATACCTATTTTTTTTTCAATTTCTTTACCAAAAACCTAAGTACATTGCCGTTTGGTACATTTTCCATATTTCGGTTGTAAATGCAATAAATAGCAATGTACTTTGAATTTGCACATTTTTTATGTTTTTTTGCAATTTGTTTTGATTTTTTTACCAAAAACCAACACTAAATAGCAATGTACTTTAATTTTACACCTTTTTGTTTTTGTTTTTAGCAAGTTATTTTGTTTTTTTTTTACCAAAAACCAAAGCACATTGCTATTTGTTGCAATTTTCATATTTAGGTGTTAAATGTACTTAATAGCAATGTACTTTGAATTTAAATCTTTTTGTTTCTGTTTTCTGCAATTTGTTATATTTTTTACCAAAACCCAAAGTACATTGCTATTTGTTTCATTTTTTCATATTTAGGTGGTAAATGCAATAAATAACAATGTACTTTTACTTTACACCTTTTTGTTTCTGTTTTTTTTCCATTTTCTTTTGATTTCTTAACCGAAAAATAAATTACATTTCCATTTGGTGCATTTTCCATATTTAGGTGGTAAATGCACTAAAAAGCAATGTAGTTGTAAGTGTACTAAATAGCAATGTACTTTAATTTACACCTTTTTGTTTCTGCTTTTTCCATTTCTTTACCAAAATACAAATTACATTTCCATTTGGTGAGGTGGTAAATGCACTAAATATTAATGTACTTTGAATTTACACATTTTAGTTTTTGTTTTTTGCAATTTATTTGATTTTTTGCCAAAAGCCAAAGTACATTGCTATTTTTTGCATTTTTTCATATTTAGGTGGTAAATGCACTAAATAACAATGTACTTTGAATTTACACCTTTTTTTGCAATTCATTTGAATTTTTTACCAAAAACCAAAGTACATTGACATTTATTGCATTTTATCCACATTTAGGTGGTAAATGCACTAAATAGCCATGTACTTTGAATTGACACCTTTTTGTTTTTGTTTTTTGCAATTTATTTGATTTTTTTTACCAAAACCATAATACTTTGCTATTTTTTGCTTTTCTTCATATTTAGGTGGTAAATGCACCAAATATCAATGTACTTTCAATTTACACCTATTTTTGTTCTTTTTTTCATTTTATTTTGATTTCTTAACCAAAAACCGAAGTACATTGCCATTTCGTGCATTTCTCATATTTAGGTTGTAAATGCACTAATTTCAATTTTAGTTATATTCTTTTGTCCCATTTCAATGACTTTATAATACTAAGACTGTTTTCGATTTCTCATATTTTTACATGATGCACCAAACTAATGAAATTATATAACTTGTAATTTCACTATTTTTTACATGATGTCATTGTCAATTCCTCACTTTGTCATAGTTTGTTTATCTGATTATCATTTTTTTATTTGAAAGTAGAAGAATTCTTATCAGTTAATGGAATTAAGTAAGGGGAATTGGTTTATTAACAGTGACAATGTAGCAAGAAACATGGAAACATCTGGCCATGAAGAGAGAAAGAGATGTGGAAGAAGAACATTGGTAAGGAAACCGGTGGAAAACACATGGAGGGAAATTTTAGTTTTGGTTTAAGTTTGTAATTTGAGGAAACAAATTTCTTTTCATTTTCTATTCAGGATGCTAAATCAATATGTTTTGCAAAATCAAGTATCTAATATGACCTAAATTGTTGGCATCCCCCATAATCTCACATCTCTAATCCCTGCCTTTCCCCGACCTGTAGCGAAGCGAGGGCATTCCCTCTAGTTAATATATTGAAAAGGATATATATATATATATATATATATATATATATATATATATATATATGTGTGTGTGTGTGTGTGTGTGTGAGTGTTTCAAAAAAATTTTATATTACATAAAAAATAGGAAATTTTACAAATTTAGATTTTGTGCGGCTTCCAACAAGACAAGCTAGCTTGATTGTCTCACAATTTTTATCAAGAAAATGTGCACACCCGAAAGTTGGTGTTAGCTATTGTTGTGATTTTGGTTAGTGGTTTTTGAGCTTCGATATGGTCCTTCTCTTCGACAACAGCCTAGAAGTTGGTGTTAGATGCTATCGTGAATATAACGTGGTGGTGTTTGTAGAACTTCATAAACAAATGTGTTTTTGAGAGATCGAGTGTAACACCCATTCCAGGTAATTACTTCTTTTGTATTTATGGCAATTTAAAGACTTCAAAAGTGGTTTTTAAGGCAACCATGACGCGGTGGTGGCTAGATGGAACGTGCATTTATGCGCGCCACAACGTGGCAAAGGTATGGCCATGACGTGGTGGCGGCCATTGTGCAAAAACCTAATTTCCGGGATTAGTCCCCCTATTTAAAGGATGTGATGGATAGGGTTTGCTCACCCTTAGCCTCCATCATTGTAACGCCCGTAAATCCGGGCTAGTCAATTTAGAGACAATAAGCGTCAAAAATGACTTTTTGATAAAAGATTATTTAGAATGAATAATCTTAACTAAGTTGTAGTGGTCGTGGCAAGTTTTCCGAAAATATAAAGAATGCCGAAATCCGAGTTATAACGAAGAAGTTATGAGTTGTCGAACGTTCGCGACAGAACCGGCACGACACAGCGCGACGTAAATAGTGAATTTACGATAGAGCGATATTTAGCCTTAGTGATGTAAACGAAAATCGTAGAGTTCGTTAAACCGAGAGCGTGCATAAAAAGAACGTCCAAATCTGACTTCGTATGAGGAAGTTATGATTTTTCTAAGTTTCAGCTTAGCAGTATGCAGCCCGAAGTTCGAATATGAGATCGAGTGGTTTGTAGCCGAAACAATCTAAACGAGAATCAAAGATCTCGTCGATAGTAGTGCAACGGTAAAAAGACAGACGAAAACGGACGTCAGATGAAGAAGTTATGAATTTCTAACGGAGTTTTCCTGTCCCGACCTACTAAAAATAATATAATAAAAATTAATTCAAAATTTGTCGACGGAGTCTAAACGAGAGTTGTAGAGCATAATCTCACCTACGCGTGGATATAAATAACATCGAAAACGGAGATCGTATGCAAAAGTTATGACTTTCTGAAATTTTGAGGCACGCACACCGGGGGGAACGCCCCGCGTTCGGAGCCCAGAGCCTGTCCCGTCGCCTGTCAAGTCCGAAGTTCGTAAGCAATGACGCACGGCGGAACGCGCTGCGCTCGGAGGCCAGACCCCTCCTATAAATAGAAAGCGAGGGCTGCCGTTTTTGTTTGCTAAATTCTTTCCTTTCACTCCCTTATTCTTCCTTTTTCTTGGAAAGTTATATCCCGAAGCCTCGGTATCATCCCGAGACCCGAAGCGAGTCCCGAAGCCCCGAAGACCCCGAGAAGTAAAGTTTCCAAGCCGAAACTCTGCCCGCGAGAAGCCCGGTTTTTGTGAAGATCTCCTGGTTTCACCGAAGAAATACTACATTTAGAGTCGTAGTGCTGTCCGATCATCGTATTATCAGGTGAGTGTGTAGTTACTTTCTTCTACCGCATAGATATGAAGTATTT